GGCCCCAGGGGTCGGCGGATTATGGTCCTCTCCCACTATTCCATGGAAGGGGTCCTCCTAAGGTATGATTATGAGGCACGGCACCATTTCCTTGCGTCTACGTCAAACGATTCAGGCTGCCGGTGGCGCGGCGAGAAAGCTCTAGCTCCGGCATGACCAAGCTGTTAATACCTATGAATAGTAAAAGGTAATATAATAGTAATCATAATTGGTAATAGTAGTAATCAGAGTAAAAGCAGTAATGATAGTAACAATAGTAATCAGAGTAATACTAGTAGTACTAGTATAGTAATAGTAGTAACAATACTACAACTAAGAATATGCTAGTGAAGCGATGTGAAATGTCTGCCATTTGTCACGCACATTTCCTGCTAAACTGCACGGAAAAGTGTGGCTTTTGGCAGTATCGTTCTGAACGTGGAGGATCTTCAAGGGAAGGCTGTACGTGTACAGGATCCCTGCAGCAAGTACGGAAGAAGCGTCAACATACTATTGTTGGTTCATCGGTTCAGATCTGCAAAGCAACCTGGGCCTGAACGTGGGAAGGCGTAGAATGTTCTTGAACCAAATGCATTTCTCATTTCTTTGCTCAAGAAGGGCGGAAGTGACGCGATGCGAAGTGCAAAGCCAGAAGAAGGTCTGCAGCTGCAAGTTGTGCGGGTGCCGGCGTGACCGGCATAAGCAGCACCAACATCTTAGCAGCAGCTGGTTGTCTTGTTGTTGGGCCACGCTGCCGCGAGAGACAGAGAGAGAGGAGAGAGAGAGAGGGAGAGACTGATCTGTCCGCCGTTTGTTTTCGAAGATTAGTCTGGACGGTTGGCATGCATATACACCGCGATTCCTAGCAGTTGAGCTTGCCCAGTGATGTTTGGCGCAGGTTACATGCTGACAGCTGCAAGAGTTTGTGAAGACAGTGTGACACCAACGACAGACTCAAGAGGCTGTAGGTCAAAAATGCACGGTGGCCCCAAACCGGGGAGCCCTGTGCCCGGGCACTGGGCCATGGAGGCGGCCGAGGAGCTCGGGAACCTGAAGGAGCTCGATGAAGTCCTGCACAAACACACCGCGGAGGCGGACATCTCGTGTGGTTCTTCCGCCGTCTTTTACAGAGCGGCTTGAGAATGGTCATTTGCAAAAGCACCCGGATGCAGATTGTGGTCTCGGTCTGAGCGCTAGCTCTGTAGTGGTGCCACTTGATGATGCCTTGAAAAATGGCAGTCTGTTGCAGGTGTGTGCCCACTTGGACACACGATTTGAGAAGCTGGAGATGCTTTTCCGAAGGCTGGGAAAACTCGGCAGTTGCAAGTGGTGTGCGTAGATGTACTTCTCTGGAAGCCAAGGCCACTAAACTGGAGCATGGGACCGCAGCTGAACGGGGATGACCAGCTCACCCCGGAGCAACTTTTCTTGTATGTGAGACGGTGTTATGGAAGCTTCTGCGTATCAGCCGTACAGAGCATCTTGAATTTGCAGGCACCAATCAGCATAGGTAGCTGTTTGTTGGCCAGGGTTCACGAGAACCTTGCCGATGTGCAGTCAGGTTTGTACGAGTCATGACGGCAGAGAGCGGCCCACTGGAATCAGTAGTGGAGTCACTGCCGAACAGCTCACAACCGGGCATGCGGCCCAGCTACATTCGCGAGGTGCCAAATGTTTTGGAGCAGTTAGGATAAGGCGATCACACTAGGTGCCCTGTCTTGTCGTATTACCTCAGAGATCTTATCGTTGGATTTTTGGCCTCGCTCCCTGAAGGATAGCCCAAGCAGCTACGAGATGGCCAAGAAGACTGGCGAAGCTGTGACACAGGCCTTCTCCAGGATTGGGGGTGTGCCCTGGCTGCAATGTGAAGCCAAAGTTAGGACAACCAGCTGCAAGCTGGGCCATATGATGACTTGTGGACCTCTCTTTGAAGTAAGGCCAGCAAAGAACTGACAGAAAGACGTGCTGGCCTTATGTCCATTGTACTATGTGTGGTCTATGCAGTAGCGAGGATGCCTGAGATTGATTCAGCGGCTCTGAGGCCTTGGGCCAGCTTTTTCGGTCTGGTACCGGTGTCGGCAGTGGGCAGCTGCAATAGTGAATTCGCAGATCGCCAGCATCTTCTTTGCGATGGTGGTCATGTCGAACTCAGTATATCTTGGAGTTCACCTCTCCTGGAGTTCCCAGAACACCGCGCAGACCGCGAATCCTGTTTTCCTGGGAATGCATGTCGCATATTCTGTGCTTTGGCGAGCTCAGCTTGATGCTAGATATCAGGCATTACTATACAATACTGACATGTGGGGGTTGTCATGCACAGCCGAGCGCGGGCATTAGCGGCCTGAAAACCAGACCCCATGGGTCCTAAGGTGCTATTCACTCTTGAGGCACTGCTCCACTTGATGGCGGTTGGGTTCACAGCCTACATTTGCGCAGCCTGGCGGTTGAGTTGAGTGTGAGTGCTTGGGCTTTGGGCTGCAGGATTGATGAACCTTCAGTTTGCGGTGCAAGATCAGCCCTGTATGTAAATGGTGCAGCTGAGGGTCCCAGTTGGGCATGGAACTGGCTGGACATTTTTGTCGTGACTTCCTCGTGGATCGAGTTGGCGGTCGACATCGTGTCCCCAGATCATGAGACCATGGGTGCCAATAGCAACCTTCGAATTATGAGGTGCTCTGCCCAGCCGAATTTAACTTCACAAGGCAAACGCAGTCGAAGAGAAACATTCGGTGGCATTATGACTGCTTGTCCAACTTTCTGAGGCTCCTCAGGCTTGGCCGACTTGTCCGTGTTGTGCGCATTGTCCGTGTGGTGAAGCTTTTTCGAGCGCTGCGAACGTGGCCCGGCATTGCTTTACATGCAGCAGCTGACAGTGCATCGCCGAGCCAATAATAACGCCCGGTTCGAAAACAGATCTGTCAAAGTCACGAATCATAGACTCGCCGGTGCTCTGTGCCGTATGCCAAGCGAGCCAACCTATCACCCTTTGCAAACGCTCACTGGGCATGCGCTTTCCTTCCAAATCTCCTTGCTCGGCAGAGGTTGGTGTATTCCCTCCTTGGGACCCTGAAGTCGCTGTTCTGGTCCTTCTTGCTCCTGGCGCTGCAGCTTGGTCTTGCTTAGGAGGACCCAGGCTTTCGCAATTTCATCATGGTGAGCTGAGGATTATCTACATATTCGGCATCTTGTTTACTGATGTTGTTCTGAACCACCTTTGGGAGCAGGCTGAGCAGGCAGGACCTAGGGATCTCAATCTGATGCTGGCTTCCAGGCTTGGGTAAAACTCAGAATGTAGGGAACTTACAACCAGGGTTACAGAGAGGTATTAGCCTACCAACCGGGGAATCAAATGGACAAGTAGGTGAACAATGAAATGGAAGCTGGGGTTTACATAGGGGTTATAAACTAACTTGCAGGATACGGAGCAAGCAACAAGCATGCTTTGCGGCGAAAGAGAGCATGGGAGGATGAACCAGGAGGAAACAAGTCGAGAAGATGCGCAAGCAAGGGGGAAGAGCGCGTGGATTGAGCAAGGGGGACGCAAGTAGAGTAGTAACAAAGAAAATGGCGCATAGCATAGGACTTCTGGGTGGAATGCCATGAACAGATAAAAGGCACGCGGGCAGCAAATGAGAGTCTCTGTCACAGGGATGACGCTCGACACATCTCTACTGACGGTCACCAAGAGTCACACTGGCTTACAAGCACTGAACCTCGAAAACCCTTTTAAGAGTCCCAAGCCGGGAGATTTAGCCTGGTGGCTCTTTGTACACCCGCAAGCCCAAAAGTTTTAGTTCTGCAAGGACCACGCACAAGAAAGTTCAATTCCTGAAGAAGCATAGAGGACAGCAGACATCTTCTTTGCTTGTGTTTGATACTCAAAGAGCAGCCAGTGTGAAGTAAGAACCGCAAGGCATCTTGAAAGGGGCGGATGCTTTCAAAGAAAGGGGTGCAGCATGCGGGCACCTTGTGGTGGTGAAAACTACACGCATGCCCGCTATAAGAATTGGAATGCGTTGTCGTTTATGATTTGGAAGGGGATGGCTTTGCTTTTAATCGAGGATGTTGCGGATCCATGCGTTGACTCTGAATGGCCTCAAGCTGGCCAGCAGAACCTGAGTTTGTGCTTTCGAACTGCGCTGGATTGAGCCGAAAAAAACCTCCAAAGAGTGGCGCGTCATGGCAGGGGATAAGTGTTGACACTGACACTGACGAAGTGCGGTTTTATTTTGGTACACTCTACGTGTCCATCATCACGCTCTTCAGGCGCGGTTTTGGGTAAGCGTTTGGGAACAAGGACATGATGCCACACTGAGTTTTACATTCATGGTGAGACAGCCAGTCCCATTCATGACCAGGTCGATATCTAACGGTATCACTTGGAACAAGGCCGCCGATGCACTGGAGCCGGTGGGCATGTTCTGGGTACAAGTGTTTCACTTCTATGTTGCCGGGTTATGTTTTGGCAAGTTTTCTGTTCTGTAGCGTGTAGTGTAGTTTCTTCAAAGGCTCAAAGCACCACCCAGGTTGCCTTCTGCTCCTTTGCATTGCTTAACGCAACTCGGATGCACATACCTTTTGGATGCATTTGTATGGGGTCAAGTGTCCGGCCGACGCTGAACACTTGATATGGGTCGTTTAGCTATAGTCAGTATCTCAGCCTGTCAAATGGAATGTTGGGCCTACGCAATTTCAGGCATCGCATGCAGCGGTGGCTGCTGCTAGTTACAGAGCAGGGCCGACTTGAGTACGCCCATCCTTCACACTAGCTCACAAGTCTGGGTCAAAGGAATCTTGGTGCGCCATGACTGGCACACGTTTGCTCCCGTGGGGCCCTGAACTGCAGGTATGCACCAGCCTTTGTAGATGGCAGTGCAGCCTTACTTCGACATCCAAGCTGAGTTATGCGGATTATCTGAGCGTGATAGGAGAGATGAACGCCAAGATGAACACAAGCATGAGGATACGACGGGAAGACGCGACATAAGGACATGTCATGAGGATGTGACATGAGGACACCACATACGCCACAAGACAAAGACAAGGTACTTCACCAGGACAAGGCGAAGACAGGACATGGTCATGATGCCAGCATAGGTCACCACCTTGGACAGGCGATGCGGTGCGCATGAGGCCGCCACGGGACAAGCCACGAGAGAAAACCCGAAGGCACATCAGAGAAAGACGCCAGAAGGATCTGAGTATCAGGCCTTATGCAAACCATGACTGATTAAGTCACAATTACGGTCCAGTAACCGCCGTAAACTCAAGCCCGCTTGGTTTCCTCGCCTGGACCGGATACGACAGTTCCTGACGTAAGGGATCTATGTGCAACGCGCAGAGTGCTGCTGGAGCCGCCGTACGGTGCCGCCCGCAAAAGGAATAAGACTTGCTAAAGCAGCAAGTAACTTGCAGGCTTTAGCTGCAGTGAGTCTGCTCAGGGACCTGGTGTGCACACGGTGGCAAGCAAGCGGAGGCCCGCGAAATGCGGCGAAGCGCATGCGTTCGCTTGCGGCCAGATTTGAGCCAGATGTGGTGTCGGATGCCTCCTGCTGGACGGAGTAACCTTGCAGTTTTTTGTCAGCCAGCGCCTGCAGCAGAAGCATGCTGCTTTGCCATTGGCAACCGACATCGTCTCGGTTGGGGAGTGCCTGAACACCTGGGAGGGCCTTCTCTGATACAACGACCTCTTCTGAAGGGCCAGCTGGTCGTACACATAAATGACAACAAAAATGTTGAAAGACAAAGTAGCACAAGCGTAAAATTCAGATGCGCGGTGCGTCGGCTTCCTTCACATTCGAGAAGTCTCATGCGAGCTTTCAAGTCCAACCCTTGTGCCGCCAGTTTCTTCAGATGTCGCCGCCAGGTAATGACTGGTGTTTTTTGCAACAGTGCTATCAAAGCTGCAGAACGTGACCATGATATGGTGCTGCAGTCAATGATGCAAACGCGCAAGGAATACCAAGATGCACCTTGGCAGAAGGCTAAAATGGGTTCTCCAAGATGAACTTTAAGGAACGCAGTATTGTCAGATCTCACTGGAGCTCGCATTGATTCCTTGGCCCGGCAACCTCGAGTTGCTTGTCCCAGCCTGAAGCATCCAAATGAAGGTTGTCAGCAACCTCTTCAAGAAGATTGATGAACGAGGCCTTGGACATCTGACCATCACGGACGCTTGCCATACAAATGGTCGGCGTGGCCTCGTGTTTTCCTTACCGCAATCAGTGGTTGACAGGTATTTTGGCACATGGTAGGATTGCTCCAAGCTGAGGAGTTCGAACGACACTTCGATGATGATTCAGTACAGGCACTGCTTCTGGGCAGCGGTTAGCAGTTTAATCTTTCACCCCACGCCGCGACAGAAATTCTGCCTTGCCTGAAGCGGAAGGAAGTACTAGTATTACCAACTACAATGACTTTTGCTATTACTAGCATTATTACCATTACCTATTACGAAGTATGAGACAATGGACCAGCCCAGCGTCGCCGCCTCGCAGTGAAAGCCTGGAAGCGCACAAAAGTCGTATACAGGACTTGCACAGCCAGAGTGCGCGCTTGTTCCACCTTCTTGTGCGACCAAGGTTTGAGTATCTCCAAATCGGTGCCATGGATGCCTGGACAATGTTTATCAGCCTTGACAAGGTCCTCTGGCTGTATTGAAGTGAGTGAGAGTAGGGCGGAGACCAGAGTTACATATAAGCGGCTGACACGCCATGCTGGAGAAGGGCCACGCTCTGTGCTTCTTTTTGCCGGTATTTTGCCGGTATTTTGCATATGATACCATAGGCCATCCATCCCCTGTTGCGTCCTTGCAATGGGTTGTTGCAGGATGGTGATCACACAATCAACGTGGATGAGTTTACAGAGCGCTGAACCATGGCCTGGCTTTTGTAGGAATTTTCGGGTTTGGTTCTGCGATGCGTGAGAGTGAGCAGGCTTGCTCGCGTTTCGTACTAGGCATACAGCTTCACGGCCCCGCAAGATCTGCGGACCTCTTTGCAGTGCGGCAGAACTGTGTTCCTGGGATTGACGTGTAATCACACGAATTTCAAAAACGGTGTCATGCAGCCAGGGCCTAGCCCTCATGCACTGGCGATGGCAAAAAGCCGAGTAGTCGCCCCGGTCCTGCACTTGTTTGACCTTGACTCATATCAAGGCAAAGCTGACAAAAGACCTACGCAAGATGGATGAGACACAGGCAGCAGTGCAGGTTGCTCTCATGGCATGTATCAACGTGCAGGCTGCAAGCTTGGCCACATGGAAGGACCAGCAGTTCCTGCCATTTTTCCACCATGGATCACGACAGGAGCGGATTGAAATGGCCTTGGCGATGATCCTGCAACAGCAGGCCGCGATCGCTGCGTTCAGCGGCTAAGCTGATTGACAACTCCATTTCTTATCGATTGTTGTGTTGTTGTGTTCTGGAAAGAGTTGGAAAGCCTATGCTGGCCCGCGATGCGTGTGCTCGATCGTGCTTGTGAATTTCGGCAGGGTTGACTACATGAGGTTGAGGGATTTACCCCTTTTTCTGAGGTGTGTGACCGAGCTCGAGCTACTCGAGCTTCCAGCGAACGTTCGAATTTCTTGCGAGTTTCTTGCACAGCTTCCACACTCCCTTGTCCGCGCTTGGAGCAAGGGGCGCAGCGAAGACTGGTGCGATAAGTTACTGAGCATGTGGGCATAACAGGGGGCCCTAATGTTACTATTATCCCGATCTACTGTAGTCCTCACCCTACGGACTTCCGACAATTTTTAATGGAGGTCTTCATGTAATGATGCGAGCAGAGTACGATGCTTATTCCGTAGAAATGGTAGATCTTCCAGAGTGAGGTTGTTGAGGGTGGACATGAGTTCGAATAGCTTTTCGCAGCAGTGGTGCGTAGAACCGTGCTGTCAGAAAATGTTCTCAGGAACGTGTGGCTCTGAAACATCAGGGCCCAGACAGCTTTGAATCTCGGATCAGCTGACTCCGGATCGTAGATTCGTCTGTTGATCCTGTAAAGAATTTTCACATTCGTGTTTCAACCAAGCACCACATATCACTAAAGTGTCAAGCTTTCGCTTGAGTTTCCCAGCTGGCCACAGTATACGTTTATTGCCATAGCTAACAGGGGCATCCTGGTAGTGTTGCCTTACTAGATGTCGTCCTTAAGCAAGAACGCCAGCTTCTTGGCCTAGCACCCTGCGCCGCACGAAGTGTTTCGTGGTGCAAGGCCAGCCACGCGTAGAGGACAACATGAATGTTGACCGCAGGTTCAGTCTCGGCACGCTGCGTGCCTGTGACTTCTTGCGACTGCCTCGGCGAACTCCGAGTCTCTTCAATATCCCGTCTAAGTGGGTCTTTGCATAGTGCGAAGATCAGTTGCTCAATGCACATATGATGAACGCCATGCATTGATGAGACATCGAGAAGTTTTCAGCTCTCCTGAGCAGGCTCGCTGCAAACGTAGGAGCTTGTCAAACCGCTTTGCGTCGGATGGAAAAGTCGCAACTTTGCTAGAGGTGTACCTTGACTTGAGAGGATTGCAGGCCTATGGCCCATGGTTAGGGATTCCAAGGTGTGGGACACAAGGGCGTAAGTGAAGAGGCACTTTGAGGAGCAATCTTCTCCAAAAAGCAATGGCACTCCAGCTCTTTTGGTGCAGCTTTAGATTTCCTGGCTTGTCTTCGTGGCTTCTTACATTGATGACTGTAGTTGCAGATGCCCTGGCTATGGAAGCTTCAGGTTTTCCGGACCGAACGTGATTCAATGGGTCGCGCGTAAGAATATTTCGATTCCTCAGGGTTTTACGTATCAATAGATGATTCAAATTAGTCTCCATAAATCTTTGCTTCGCAGGTGGATGGGCGAATGAGCTGGCTTTTTGTTTTCCTCGGCCCATGCCACATACGCCTTTTGGGGCCCAACGCATATCCAAGTTTGAAAATGTAGCATGACATAAGACTGAGAAGCCCATATATGTCAAGCGTGTTTGTGCGTAAGGCGTGGCATAGCATCGCAGGCCAGGTATAGCAAAAGAAGGCGAAGCAAACAGAGCACCTATACCCTATGCTGCACACACATTGCGTGGTTGGGGAGCCAATGCCGGGCACAGCCGGAAGGATCGCAGAACTGTAGCTGGGCACCGCCCAAGCCCAGGGGCACAGGACCGAAGCCGAAGGAACTTGAACCTACGTCACAGATGTCGCGGGTCAAGTAGATCTTTAATTTGGCTTTCTGTGTGCGAAGTGAATTCGAGAAAGACATTGTTTGCTAAAAAACCTAAGGTTGCGTAGCCTTTTGTCATCGTTGTGTTCCCAGCCTCCTGTTGTAAATGCATGAAGACTATCGGCTTGGCTTTTCCCCTGGCCCCTGGTTGTTCCTTAGAGTCGAAGACTTCGAGGTTATTAGCAAGCTTGCAGAGCAGCAGCCGAAGGCATTGCAAGCAAGCCCTACAACTCAGCTTAGCGGCTAGCATCCTCAGCAGTTGTGGACATGCCTCCTTAGAATGATGCTTGGGCCGTGCTGTTTTTGGCTGGCACATGCGCTAAACGTTTGGCCCAACTTGCGCAGCGTTGGGGTCAAGGATGGTCAAGGAGAGGGGATGAGAAACCGTCCTGATCCGGCACAACAGTTCCAGAAGTGCGGCATTAGCAACAGCTTGAGATGCCACGGCTTGTGCTTCGGAATGGAATGCAGCGCATTCCGAGCCATGGGTCCAGTCATGGGCGCGAGCCGGATAAAACACCAGGCCAGGACTTGCTGTAGCCATCGCTGAACTCTTTTGAGTTTGAAGCCTGCAGATGCAGCGAAGGAACCAATCTATGTACTTACTTCTGCCTGATCTTGGGCGCTTCCCTTATGCAGGTGACACATCGCCGCGATTCACTCCGCAGCAGCTTGATGCGAATAAACTTCAGATTAAGGGCGTTGGACTTGGAAAGGACATGCTTCCAGACGTCTGCATGGCTGTAGGCTTGTGAGCCGCCTCAGCGTTTGCGGATTGCCGCCGCCCCGCCTGAGTGCAAGGCAGGGTATAGCAGGAAGCAAACTTGAAAGCTGCGGTGTGCACTGCTGTCCTCTTGCTTGGGATCCGCGCCATGCTACCAAAGCGGAAAAGTAAAATCCTCCCACATGGCTGCAGTAGCACTTGGTTATATACGGGCCTTCACGGCTCAGCATGCCTGCTGGAAGAGGGGGGGTACGCAAATCCAAGCTTCCAGGCAATGGAAAGTATTGGCCCTCCTCCAAGCTGCTGGCTACTTTGGCGCCTCTGCTCAAAGAAGAGCCGTTCGACATGTCTTTCGGCCAAGTACCAAGCGCCAAATCCGGACCAAATCCCTTCCCGACAGCCTAAGGTAACTTTGACAGGACAATCTTTGGCATAGCGGTACCACAGCTCCAGAGCTGCCTGGCATGCACAGAAGAATGCTGATGCAAACGCCTGCGTCATCAGGCTCAGGCCGCGATAGGAGGGCCAGCCATGAGATCTGCTAAAAGTACAGTGACACATGTTTGACTGAGGAGATTTCGGCTTGTCGGATGCTCAAATCAGCTATGCGGCATCCTTTTTGGGACTCTCGTCTATCTTCGCTTCGGCCATCGCCTGCCTGTCGGACAGATTGTGGTGAAATACTAGCAATCGTAGCAGAGACCCAGGCGAGCAGAAACTTAAGAATGTTTCAAAGCCGAGTGGCCCGGTGGTTATGAGTGGGGTGCAAATTGAAAGTATTGTGGAGCAAAGAGCAGGACAAATACGGCAGAGCCCAAGTTCTGATGTGGACGTCTAAACCTCAGGCCGAAGCAGGCACTGTTAGCACAGACTGGCAGACTATCAGTGAGGCTGGCCCCCTACACCCTGGCTACAGCCTTGACAGCGCTGTCAAGGCCATGATGCTTGTGCCGCGCGATCCTTTCGCCTGTCGCCTAGTCCTTCCGTGCGGACAGGAGCATCATCATTTTTGTTGCGCTGCAGCTTGTGGCGGCTGCCTTCATAACCGCGGAGACTGGGGGAGCAAAAGTGCAGCGCAGCATCAGTGGGAGCCCTTGCCTTGGGCACCCTGCTGCAAGCAGGAGGGCATCATATCCCACGTCATCGTGCTGGAGGATTTGATTTGGAGCAGCTCCAGTTTAGTACTTCAGGCCATGTCTATATCTATGACTCCAGGAGATGCCGGCAGACTGTCGGGGCTGGGCCATCGGGATGCTGAACACCGGTTCGGCCTGTGGTGCAGGCAGTCTGAGAAGGTTTCCACCTGGGCGAATGCTTTGCAGCGAGTCAACCTAGAGCCGGCTAGGACTTGCCAGACTATCCCAACAGTCCATGCGAGCGTAGGTATTGCTGGTGCTTTCCAAAGCGCAGGCCTAGGCCTATTGCTGTTTGGCATCACCGATGGGGCGTGGCGGCTCATGTGCCCCCTCATTGTGTTCTCCCGATTTGGCCGCTCTTTGCGTGGTGAACCTGGCCAGGTACTCGCTCTCAATTCTTCCGCTCATTGGTATAGGCTTCATACGCCGACATCTTCCAGAAACAAGGCCTCCATGACAAAAGTGGGGCTTTGAGCCTTTGCGGATTAGGGTTTGCTACTTGGATGGGTGATTCTCTTGGGTGCGCTCGCTCTGCTCTGCGAGGCGCTGGTCAGCAGTCAGCAGCCAGGAGTGCTGAGGGTTGCAAGGGATGAGACAGAGCACGACTGTTGTCTACCCTAGGAGGAGCCCCCACCCTGTATTATTAGTGGTATAATAGAATATAAGAGAACCCTAACATAACCCTGATTATCCCATGTAGTCACTATATTGTGGCTATACTATACGGGATTATGGTAACTATCTTAGGGTCCTCTTATACTCCTACTATACCCCAAACCCCTAAGCCCTATTACTGGGTGGGGCGGTCCACCTAATATCTACCTTACATACTTACATGTTTGTTTCTCTTACCTGGAGCAGCCGACACGAGGAGAACCAGCATGACAAGGTTTACGAGCCGGAGCTCCAAGGCTCAGCCTGTAGGAGGGTTTATAGCGTTCATAGGGTTTATAGTGCTTTTAGGGTTTGTAGAGGGTTTATAGGGTTTTTAGGGTTTATAGGGTTTGTAGGGTTTATAGGGTTTATGGGGTTTATAGGGTTCATAGGGTTTATTGAGGGTTTATAGGGCTTGTAGAGGGTTTACGGGGACATGGATATATTCGGCTTGTCATTTTTTTGGCGTTCCTCTTCTCATTTCCTTACTCTGCGCGTATTGCTTAGGTATTCGTATAGCGAACTGGTGCTGGTGCGAGTAGCGGAAAATATTCTTGCTATGTGTGATCAGTCCATCTTAAATGGTATTGTCACCCGGGTATGCACACACCATTCACATCTGGCACTGCTGAGGCCTCAACCCGCGGTGACCCTCACTGCTATCTTGCTACTAAACAAAGAGAAGATAAGGCGCAGAATGATGTTGAGAATTCGTTGAGACCTCAGGCTTGAGGATTCCACCAGCGCGCCTTGGCTCCCCAACTGAGGAGCTGCAGTATGTGCAAGTTGGAAGCTGTATCCGGCTTGGACAGTGCGGGTCACGTGAGAAGTGGGATGCTGCAAAGGCTCCAAATTGTGTTTGAAGATTTTGAAGGAGTCGAGCGCTGACGAGAAATGCCACGTGCGAAGGTGGTCCAAGGCTGCCTCTACTTTGAGGGGTGAACAGAGCCTCCCGCCTTCCTAGCTGCGTTGATGCCTCCTTGTCAGGTGAAACGACAACATTTGTTCTGCTTTCTTGCCTCCTTCCTGGGCGCCTTCTTTCCAAGCGCTGCCAACTTCTATGCTTCCAAGCACATCCAAGTGGTGCATGGCTTCGGCGCGCTTCCCGGCTGCAATTGTCTTCTGAGGTGTGGGCGTCTTTTTAAACAAAAGGATAATGTGCAAAGACCTGGGTGCTCCCGCGCCTTCAGTGGTGCTTGAGACCACCACGTAGCACATGGGAGTTTAGCGTGAGCACAAGGTAGCACAAGTGTCCAGCATTGTCCAGCCATCAGCTCTGCTAGGCTCTAGGGGCCACATTCGCAACATGCCTGTTGTCAGGGCCGGCTTCGCAAAGTTGGCATTGATTGGTGGCTTCCTTGCCCTTTCGGCCTTCATTGTTGCAGGTCACTCGGCTGACATGCTGTTGCCATGCTGGAAGTTTCCAGCTATCAGAGTGCCTAACTGCCAACTTGGGAAGTGCACACATATCATGAATATAGTCAAGGCAAGGGTAAAAAAGGAATAGAATTGCATTTGGGGGCTGATCAAGACCCAGGGGTAATTTCAACTGAAGCTTGAGTCGTGGCCCGCTAGAGAGAGGGGAATGGCAAGATGCACTTCTAGACAATCGTGGAGCTTTGTCAAAATCTTGCATCATACAACTACCATGGCAACCCAGTTCCATGCCTCGAGGAAGGAGGAGTGAGAGAACGGTGGAGAGGCATCCGAGTCTGTGTGTGGGCAACAGAGAACAGAGACGAGATTATGCACTCTGGAGGGAGAGAATAACAGATCCTAGTGAGGCTACCTGGGAGATCGCTTCGGCAGAAAGTTGCTTGGTGTACTGGGCATCGCGCTGAAAGCCATGGTGGCACCTGCCTTGGATCGCAGATTGGGAGAATTCTAGTTTTTGGTGTGATGTCTCAAATTTGCCTGATCCAAGGACTTCGCCTTCTACAGCATCAGCCCTGGGCATGCATACTCGGTCAGCACCTCATGAGCTTGCACGGGACAGAAGAGGAAGACATTCATCAGAAGTAGAGAATCCCTACCCTCCTTCATGATCCCCATATCTAGTGTGAAATGTGAATCATATGTATCCTATGGCGCCAGGTGGTATTGATTGTCAGTGTTTTCTGCGTTCGGACAGCGCTCGGCATGGCTTTGGACACCACTTTCCAGGCTTGGGATGCTTTGCAGCCATTGTGGCCGGATCGTGGCATATGTATATGCATAGTATCATATGGACCCTCCACTCCTTGCAGAGGACTCATGGAATCCTTACATTCTACTACCGTTTAGACTTGGAATCCGCGCAATGCCGACAGGCTCCCAAATGTCACTTTGTGGTTATGTCTCCTCTAGACGTGCCTGCTCGGGAGGCGTTGGCTGGCGAGGTCTTCCCGACATCTGGCAGAACATCTGCGCAGGAGCAGAGTTTCAGAAGGAAGCATGGCTTTTCCTGCACTTCTGCCCACAGATATAGAGTCATAGTCCCTATGGCGGCACATTGCTCTTGGAACCTTGTGAAAGAAAGGGTCAGGCTTCTTTTGAGTCTCAGTCTGAGCAGGGCCTGCTGACGCTCATCGGCGGCCTTGGTGGTCCCCTGGGCTGCTGGGTAGTAATAGTAATGGTAATAGTCATAGTAATCCTAATTCAAAGTAGATCTAGCGCTGTGAATTCGAATCTGCTCAGATGTTCCTTCAATATCCTTCAATCAAGCCAAGGCCTCCTGACAGCCACACGGCTTGGAAATTCGCTTGGTACCGAGGAAGCCACCAGGTCCCTTATCTCCGAAACTGTCCGCCATGAATGTCTTGCTGAAGGGTCGTTTTCGTCCCTGTGCGAATCCCTCATGCGCTGCACCTTGCCAGGCTTATGGCGTGCGGGCAATTTCTGACAGCCTTGATTGTAGCGGTTGGACTGCCAGAGACGCGTGGCAGAGAGCTTGAAGAGATCAACAGCTGAACAGATCATGCGAGCGTCAGCGGCAACTGCAACAGCAACAACAGCAGCAACAAACCATCATGAAAGCTACAAGTAGCTCTTTAGATCTTGCGCAAGTTCGTGTTATCAAGTTTAGGTCCTGGGCTAGGCAGATCTGTTCGGCCCGGGGGGCATCATTGAAATGAATTATGAGGTTTGACCTCATTGCGACAGCCACTGAATTGCGGCCCCCCGACCTTTGAGCTCGCCACATTTGTTGGATTTGTTGTCAAGTTTGTCTTACAATTAGGGTTCTTTTTTTACCGTTCGTCACTGGAGACATCTGGACGGCAAAAAATCGGGAATGTGTCCGAAGGGGCGAAAAAGGATTTAAGAAGTGAGACTAAGAGAATATGAGCCTTGAAGTAGGTGGTGGCACGACGGAGTGCGGGGCCATTATGTGGAACCATAATTCATCAGCTTTTCCTAGACTGTAGACTTCCAAGAAGACATTGATGTCATGATTTTTCATCACAAGTTGGACATGATGATAGAAAACACACTAAGCGAACGTGAATGGAAAGTAGGGCTTTCTTGGTTGGTCTACTCTTTGACTCTTTGTTCAAGGTTTCAATATGTCGAGGAATTCACGGCATCCTCACTTTCCTGCGTTGTCTTCTTGTTATCGTTGTTGAGCAGAGGTGATGGACATTTTCAAGTCTGACTGGATTGCACCACCTCCTCGCATCTCTTCGCTGCCTTAGTCAGGCAGCGATTGCTCCAATTACAGCTAGAGTTGACTTGGCCTCCATAGAAGTTCTTCATCTAGTATGCCCCGAATAATACATAATGTTTCGTTCCACAGATCATTCATTAGTAGGAAAACGTTTCATTATTGGTGGGAGCAATTGTAGGTGCGGAGCCGGTGAAGGAAGTTTGGACTTGCTGCAAGTCTCCACCATGCGTAGAGTGATAGCTTTCCTCAGCATTGCTCTCAATTAGCAATCATCAGCAGCATGACCTTCCTTGTGGGAACAGTCTGCCGGCTCACAATTTCAGCTGATGATCTTGGAGTAGCTAAACAGCCGGCGAGGCTGTTTGCTCTTTCTGTACATAGAGACAGCTCGTGCAGGAACAGGGCAGATGCATCCTCTACTTGGAAGTACCAGCACTCAGAAAGATTTTAAGAAGTCATGCCTTGCTCCTTCGTGCTCTTGCTTAAGGAAAACAAGGCTCTTCTGCGCACCCAGGCTGTGCCACCACAAGATTTGTCCGCTTCATGGTCAGTTAGAAGCCACCACGTGTGTAATTTTCCAGTGCTCCTTGCAGAAGTAGTGCGGGCAGATTTGTGAAGCCTTGAACCATCTTACACCTGCTGGGCTTTTTCTTGCGATGGCTTGCACGTCGGTTTTGCGCCCATGGGCAAGCTGGCAGAGGCCGCCCATACAGTCCATCCGAACGTGCCAGACAACAGACGTAGCACCCAGATGTCCTGCAACGCCACATTGCGCGAGAGCACTCGCGACATTCACGCTGATCATGGGTCCTTGGATGCAGCGCAGGTGCCAGTCACAGACTCATATGGAGACAGGACGCACGAGTGCCACCCGAGTCTGCGCCACGAAGATCTCTACTGCCTTTATTGTAGCTGGAGACCTCGCCATCAGCCTCATAATCCCAAGCCTTGAAGTTGTTGTTCTTAAAAGCACCTGCGTCTACACACCTCTTTGGCTGATATTTGGAAGTGTTGGGACAACTGGCATCTTTGCAGAAGTGAAGCACGGAGCAGTGTTGGCAATTTGTTGGCTGATCAGTGCTGCTTATGCAAGAGCGTATGACAAAGAGGCTTTAGATGGTCAGGATGTGCCGGAATTGTTGTGGCGCTTGTTTCTTGCAGGCTTCCTAAATGCCTGGTTAATCTTTTTCTCAGTGTCCTTCATGGGCCTGCTTGAACCATTTAGCGAGGGCGATACCTTGCGCTTGGGTATACCCGCAGATGTGTGGGGACCTGCTGGCTTCAATGTTGACGTCAAAGTCTTTCGGCAGGTGGTGGATGTGAATGTGGACATTGTTGCTGAAGCTCTGCTGCTGAACTCATGGCACATCTTCTGTGCTGGGGCAGATGTGGGGGAAATCTGGCGCCTGCTGCGGCGCCGATTTGTTCCATGAAGCCTCCTTGACCAACATCCTTTTCGTGAGATGCTCAGCTACGGTCACAACTCGATTTGGGCCATACCTGTAGGCCGCATAAGGCAGAAGATGGCGGAGAAACAGTTGGCTAGCCACAATGTCTGCGCTGCATGTTGCCAAGTGCAATGAACAAGCAAAGTGACGATACCCGCCGGCAGTCCTAAACCGAAGCATGCAAGCACCAGCTGAACACTGAGTACTGTACTGAGCAGAAGCCAGTTGAAGCTCGTGGCAGTGCTGTTGGCTGTGGCTGCGGGCTCTACAGGCAGCAACTGAAAGGTGATCATTTGTCCGCAACTTGCCTCGCTGTTGACACTCTGTCAGCTTGAGGGAGGTCACGGGGATGCGCAGCAAAAAGCTTAAGTTATAGTGCTCCGATGTGTTCTGGTGACTCTGGTGATACGCTTCAAGCCAAGCGAGATGCATTGCAGATAGCAATCCAGTGTAATGCCTGCCTGCAAGCATACTTTACTGGATGATGTCTCGGTGGGAATTTCGGCATGCTCTCAGAATTCTTGCGGAAATCGCCCAGCCATGTACCAGACATGCAAAACCTTCTCATGCCCTGATAGCAGCAGCACTACTCCAAATCCCGAATAATCAGCCTACATCGTCAGACCCGCCTCCCACAGTCAGCATCCGTTGGCTCATGCGGTCCTTGCAAGAGAAAGTCCTTGCCGTAAACTTTGCCCCTCCTTGCTCACAAGGCTTTGCACAAGGAGTGCTGTCTCCACTGGCTAATATTTCCGAATAATCCAAATGTATTCCTAGGGCTTCCAGGGGGCCCATTATCTCTCTCAGCTTGGCCCATGGCACCCGCTGCACGGCGCAGTGCTTCGAGGTCAGGGCCGCAGGATCGAGGGACACAGCAGCTTTTGTGAGAATCCCGAACCCCCATAGTCCCCCTTAATCCATGACTCCGTTGACTGAAGGCAGAACTGGGAACAAGACAGTTGGTGGGATGGACATCGAAAGCATGTTGGTGCTCCTCTTTTGGGCAGCTGTTGTGGGATGATGCTGGTTCCACCTGTTTGTTTGTTTGTTTGTTTGTTTGTTCTTGACCCCTTGAAGGCACTTGCTTTGTATTCTGCTGCATTGTATTGTTCTATGCACTATTGTTTTGCATTGAATTTCAGTGCATGTAGCTCCGGGCTGCTCCCTGGTTCAAAGCTTCGGATAGGCAATCTGTAAATGTTGGCTGAAGAAGGAGTACAATAGCTTCATTCAGTCTTGGCCAGGGGCTGAGATTCAAGATCTACGTGTCGCATCAACCGCTGCCCTTGCCCGCGATAGTGGCCAAGAATCAGACGTTCGTAGTTTGAGAAAGTGCAAGAATGGTCAACATTTTGAATTCAATCTTGTCGTGCAGTAACGTCTTTCGCTGGACTTGATTTCCAAAGCCAGCGCAGACCCCAAACAAGAATCAAAGAGTGTGCTCCTCAACACCTGTGAGCCTATAAGCTTGTGCGGTCCAGGCCTTTGCACTTGCCTTGCTGAGTGCAGTAGGTGGAAAGGAACACATGCTTGCACTATCTCGCGTTTGCCTTTTTAAAGTGGAGGAGCTCATGGTTTAAACAGGGCTTTTGCTCGGGTCGAGCCAGGTGAGTTATTTCAGCAGCCATGGAGCTAGTTCCAGGGCTTGTAGCAGACGAGGCTGCTATGGCAAGCGGCCAGAAGAATAGCAGCGCCCAACAGGCCGGGTTCCGTCAAGGGGCTTGCGCGTTGGAGCTCTGAATTTTCTGGCATCGTTCTTGAGGGCGCAACCCCCGCCCTCAACCAATGCTTCTTTTGTCATTTCCATTTACATGGAAGGCTTGACTATGCTGTGCGTAGAATCTACTCAGTAGAAGAGAAAGTCAGATTTCATCTTAGCGGGAAGCCTAATGGTTTGCCTGGCCAGGCGCCCCTACCCCCTAGCAGCTGCCGCCTGCGATGAGCGCTCCGACTTGCGCTGGGCTGCGCAGGTGATAGGTCGGACTCGGCTACATCTTCGTTATTGAGCTTGCTCATGAGAGTTTAGGGTAGCATTCCGGAAACTTAGGCAGAACATCATTCTTAGGGCGGACAGACATTGCGCAATATATTGTTGCTTGGCAGATGGGAGACGAAGTATAGTCCAATTCAATCATAAGTAAGTGGAAGTGGAAAGGGCTTAAAACATGCGCGGATCGAAAGTTCTCAGAGCCTTAGAGCAACTGCAATACATAGGCATATTTGTTTGATGCATACATGTTTCTCGGGGTAATTGTTTGCAGCAGGGAATGCATCATGTTGCAGGCGGTGCCGCCGCTGCATTGGCTGCTGGTGGTGCAGTTAGCCGGTTGCGGTGCGAAGGGGACAGCTGCGCACACCGCCGTGGCCTCAAAAGAAAGACTAAGTGCCAGGCGGCACGAAGGCTCTGTGCCAGGCGGCGCGAAGGATACACAAGCGTGATTTCTTGCAAATGACTTGACATCTTCTTGGCCAAGGTCCATACCCTAAGGACCTCGACCATCTCACGAAGCCCTCAGAGTTCAATCCGATGCCAGTTTCTGGGCAAGATGGGACAAAAGTCTTTTTTTGGAGTGCATGAGTTCGCATAAGCGACCAGACTGTCTGCTTCAAGGTGACCATGCCGCCACCCTTCCCTGGGCTGGCTAGGCCATTGTTGCCTTTGCATGAGGATAGACCAGTTGTAGCTGCAGTGGCAGACGAGCATGATACCATGCACTTGCCAAAACACATGCCGGAATTGAAGGGATGTGCATGTTTCCCTCTCAAAGTGGTGACCGTGATGCAGCCATTCTGGTACAAAGCAGTTGGAGGTGTAGACTCTCTCCTCCCATCAGCTCTCAATCGCAGTTCAAGGCAGCTGCCCATGGCCATGCTCTGTGTCCTTTTCTTGGGATGAGCAAGAGCCTCCAGTTGCCCGAGCTTCGCTGGTTACAGTGCAATCTCGGCACACCATACCAGGGAACTTTTCATGCATCATCATTGCTGCACTCTGATACTTGTGCAAGTCAGCCCCGCCTGCAGGCATTTGCTTGCCGTGTCCTTCAAGAAATTCTGTCAGGTCAGGCTGCTGTGAGCTTTGCCGGTCAATTCGATTTGCAAGTGCTGACACTGGCACACATCACCTTCACAAAGCTTGCTTTGACTAGGCCCTCCCAGAGGCAGTAGCAGGTCCACCTGGCCCTTGCACTTCAGACTCTAGGTACCATTTGCTGCAGTTGCCTGTCCCCGGACGCATCCACGCAATCGCGAATGTAGGGCAGCATTGGGAAGCAGGTAGACCTGACTGCCTGTCACACAATCCTCGTCTACTCCGTATTCGCCTCATGAAGGTGCGGCTGGGCTCATGCAGTTGACGGCACCCACACACATTCTGGTGCGCGAGCATGCTGCTCATCGGATCTGCATGTGTAGGTAATCGTGGACATCCACTTCGCCACTGATGCCAAGGCCACCAGTGCATGGGGTGGCTCGTAGCTAGTCATAAGCAAAGAGAAGTACTTGAGCAGTAGCACGTAAAATGCGCAGTCTTCTGGCTGTGGCATAACAAGGCAGAAAAATGGATGATGTTTTGCAAGCATGAGCGAGGCTCAATCAATTCCCTTTTCCAGCCACTCCTTTCGCTTCCCGTGGCCCGCGGCCTTCTCTTGTCATTGCCATGCACTGCTACTTGTCGTGGCAGTCTTCAACATAGAGTTCCAGAAGCCCCCACAACTACGTAGAATGTCGCATGATGCACCTAAACCGTCAGAAGCTGGCTGCTTCTCAGGTCAACGTGCCCAGCAGAGCCTCGGAAGCCAAGATACAGATCATTTGGTAGCGAGGGTTCCTATCGTTGCTTGTATCATTGTTCCAGAAGATGAACGGTGTCGATGCTTGCTGAAGCGCTTTTGACATTTTCCGAATTGTGCCAGTAGGTCGCCATGTTGACTGGCCAGGTTCCAGCAGACATATGGCAACCAATTTCTTTCCAGGTTTCCTCTTGAATCCTTGCATTCCCGCCGTGACGTCAACTGCGTAGGACGGGGTAGCAAGCTCGAGGCAACAAGCTCACCTTGGTTGTCAAGCCCTCTGACACCGTGCGGCGCCTGAAGCAGCGCGTGACCCTTGTGGAGCCTGTTCCGTTTCCAGAGCAGGACTGCCAGAGCTTCGATTGTGGGACCTGCCATTGACAGCAAATGCGGCCGTGCAGTTTTCGCTGCAGGATTTGCAGCTTGATGGCACCAGTCTCAAAGATGGCCAGAGGCGTGCCGGTGCCTGTTGATGCATGCCTGGCTTGCCCAGTTGTTTGGCATGCTCTTTTCCAGTCACTGCCCCCTTTGTGTGCGAAGGCTCGGCGATCTCAGCCTACACGACGGTCAGGTGAGGGAACTACCAGTAAAGACCAGCATGTAAGTCGCGTGAGCTGGATGTTCATGATGAATTTGTTTTCACAGGCTCTGACGTCCTAGTCCTAGTTTGGATAGTTTTAAGTATGAGAGTGACAGCTAATAGCTACTCATGCATCAGTGCCTACAGATCCGGTGCCTGTGAGGTCTCGGGCTTGGCTTTGATCTAGAAATCCAGTCACCTGTGCTGGCTGACGTGGTCTGGGGAGGTGCTGAAGCTTGCAGTCAGTGCCAGCGAGACCACCTTTACAGACCAGCTGGCGCAGCTGCTGAAGGCTGGACTTATACTCGGCCCAGATGAAATGAGCTACAGTCTACTCCCTAAAGGGGGTTATATAGGGGATGATCTAGGGGAGTATTCTAGGGGTTATTAAGGAGATGCTAGGAGTTTAGACTATAGCTGAAATGATTCTGGAAACCATTGTCGTGGCACTGACGCTGGTCAAGGCGCGGCCTCTCTCCTCGGTTGAGCTGGGCCTTCTGTACAGCCACAGGTTTGGTGCGCCGCTGAGACAGCAACTTGAAGTCTTCTTGAAAGTTAGCAGGGGAAGTCCAGTGAGAGGGCAGGCTAGTTCATCTTGTTAGCTGCCAGCGGACAGCCAAAGTGATTGACACCTGTGTACCTAGTTCAACACCACAAGTGTTACCAGATGGTGTGAAGATGTCGTGGATCGGATTCAACGTGTTCACCAAATTTTTCAATGAGGGCCAAGAAAGTGTGGCGGGCGGGGTTGCAGGGTGCACCATGGTGTATGAAGTAGACCTGCTCTACATCATCAAAACCGCACCTGAGACCGATGATAATCCTCGTCATCCTGTAGGCGTGCGTCTACATGCATCTGCATGGTAAGGAGGTGGCTGTCAGCGATGCCCAAAATCCTGAACTGTGGAGAACGGGCCCCTTCACGTAAACCTTTTGGATAATGTAGTCCTCATAGTTAAACCACCAGAACAACACCGAGAATTTTGAGCAGCCGATGAGGACCGTGAAGACAGCGTTGAGCATCCTTGGCTGCCCGGAGCCTCTCAGCGACTTCCTCCTCAGGCGCGAAGATGGGGGCTTCTTTGGGTTAAGAGCTCCTCTTGGGGTGAAGGCAATGACATTTGGTTCGTGGCCATGATAGGGAGTTGCAACACCAGGGAGATGTTTCTTCTCGTGTTGATCATATAGATCTTGTACTTTGAAAATTGGAGGCTAGGTATTCACACTAGTGTCGTCAAGTTCCGATGGAACATAGATGGAGTGGAGTGGGCCATACAGTAGGAATTGCGTGGGTATGACGTGGGTCTTGCTTCCTCAGGCCCAGATGATGCCCGAAAAGCCCGGCAGGGGCAAGATGTGAAGTTCTGGACAATCCTGGTGGTACGCCCCGCATACTCTACAGGGTGGTCACGTTGGGAGCATGTGGAGATGGATGACATGTGATGCCTATCAGGATTTACAACTGAGGTTGTGATTACAGCCTGGAAAGCGGCCCAAGTTTTTGGTTCGGGTGTCTGGAGCTTCATGGTTCACAGCTACAATGTAAAATGCGCAAGAAGGTGGGGCCAGATCTTGATGAACTATAGAAGTGTCACCCCTCAAGATTCAAAAGGAAGAAGCGCTTTGCCATCGACCCCTCCGGTGGCTTGGCTGCAAAGATGAACCGATCAGTCGTGGAAGTCTTCAGCCGGAAGCATGCGCGGTTGTCTTCTGTTGATGCTAGCGGTGACACCTATCCTCGCGGCGGTGTTGGCTCTCTTGACTTTCTTCAAATCTAAAGGGCTAGCATGCGAGAGCTGAGGCTTTGTTTCTCTTTCCGCTCCTTGGCAGAGGGGAGAGAACAGATGGACAGCGAGTAATGTGACAGGAGCAAGCATGCATGCAGGTTGCTATGATGGTTATCTTTGCACCGACTTTGAAGTTTGCATCCCGTCCCTTGTGAAGCTCTGACCAGCTGCTCACACGGAACTACACCCACCCGATGCGCCACCACTAACCCTGCAAAACAATGCCACCTGAAGGAAGCATGGTTCTCAGCCAAGGAGTGCAAGGAGTCTGCTGCAGAGACAAAGCCGGAGGAGGCAGCTCAGGCGATGAAATGCAATCTGCACAACGCAGTTTATTTGGAGGCAAGCACATGTTAGTTCCGAGTGCAGGAAGCTGTGCTGCCGGAAGATCTGGATATCATGGGGGTCGTGGCTCTGACCAGTACACTGGGCAATGCCTCTTGACAGGCACCAGACCTGAAGTCTGAAGTGTGTGTAAGCTCAAAGCTCATCTGAACAAACGGAGCTATTTGGGGAGCATTCCGAACCCTACGGACTTCTTCAAAGTAGGAAGGGCCTGCCTGACCATGTGTTTATTGCCGCGCTTCCGCTTCGGGCTTTGTGATTGCGATTCCATTTGCATTGTCCTTTTTCAGAATATTTATAATATATTCCAAAAATTATGATGGTAAGTATAGCTAAAGAATAGGTCATATGCTGCCAACGTAGCTGGGAGCCTGGCTTCTTGCATCTGTGCTTTTGAGCTCCTTTGCTGAGGTTGTCGAAGCCAGCCGCCAAATGCGAACAAAGTCTACACACACTGCTTCAAACTCAGAATGGCTCCATGATGCCAACCTCCTCTCAGAAGGGGTTCTGTAGGATGATATAAGATGTGAATATGTGTATATATATATACATATAAGTTGTACACTACAGATAATACATATGTATATCTATAAAGAGGAGTGGAAAATGGAAGCTGTCATATTTCTTGGGTTATCCCCCCTAACAACAAAATTTGCCCCCAATATACATTGGTACTGTGCAGCGGGGGGTTTGTTATTAGGGGAGGAGATTCGATGGTTGTCGCACGATGCTCCTGTCAAGGTGCAGAGCATCTGCGAGCGCGTTCTCGCATCTGAGCTTGTGCCTTTCGAGGCCAGGCTATCATCCCACGTTGGACTGTGGGGCCTTATGCCCGGGAAGTTTACCGAGCTTGTGAACAGACAAGTTGTCCTGTGCTTGCAGGCCACTAAGATGACCTTCCAGGGACAGGAACTGGAAGGCAATGCGGCAGGGCTGCCCAATGTAAGTGTTCTGAGCACTGCAAGGCTGATCGACAGAACGGGTCTTTGCAAATCTGGTTTCCAACCTGCGGCAGGACGTCAACAGCTTGGCTTCTACAGAATGACACAGGGCAGCGCCCTGAATGTACATGTCGAGATCTCGAAGGACTGACATTGAGTCAGCCATTTGAAGTGTGAGCCTTTGTGTGGTTCTGCATCAAGAGCTGATGACCGCTGAGTACAGGAGCTTCTTTGCCATCAGATGTCAGGCGCAGCCGTTTGTTAGGGCATGCTCCTGCTGGCATGCATGGCAAAGAGGCAATTGAACAGTGGGTTGCCATGCCCTGCCTTGTGATGTTTTTTGTGCCTGTTCTTCTAATTTATGACGTGGCCGCCGCACAAAATGCTGCTTCCTTCTGCAAGCCTGCCCATCAGGTCTCCTGAAAGAACGTGGCCTGTCACTCACGGAGCTGGGAGATCTGTACTGTTACAGGCGCAGCTGCCATTGACTTGTCCCTCCATTTGGCGAACGAATACGGGTGCAGGGGGATCTTCCTAAGTTGTGACAGAAACACCATCAAGTACAGGCAAACAGCACAGTGTAAACGGATGGCAACGAAAAGGGTAAATCATGGTGGTGGCAGATTGGGGTAGGAAGCCCTTAGCTCCAAGTTGTGCAGGCCTCGCAAAATGGCAGCCCCTGTGCTGGGGATCCCTAGAACAATGACCCCATTTAAGTGGATAAGAAGAGGCCCCCTCATTTTTACCCGTGTGGCCTGGTGTAGGTATGGGGCACCCGCTCGCCGTGCCCTGGAACTCCTTGGCTTGCGATGCACGTACCTTGGCGGAGAGGTGTGTGACCTTACCAGAAAAGGGCTGGTCGCGGAGGATTTTCGGACACATGTCGGGGTGCTTTCTGAGTATTTTGAGAACGATTGTTCAGGTTGACCTTGAACTAGCCAACTGACCTGCGGGCAACTAGCAGAGTACTGCCAAGCGGCATCAATACCGACCATCGGCTAGGTACCTGTTTGGCCTTCCATTGGTTGCCGAAGCTTTTGACGGTGGCAAGCGTTGGCAACCTGAGGTTAAAAGAATTTCTGGCATCCGCCCCCGAGTACTTCCATATTGTGTCTGGCAGCTTGCCTGCAAATGACCAAGCGGTGTGTGCGACTGTCCTCATGGATTGTGCTTGCTCTGGTGAGAGCAAAAGAACGGCTACCCATAGAGGCTGCATCACCTCGAAAGCTCTCCCGCCTGCTGGACAGCTTGTGACAGGCTGGGCGAACTGCCTTTGTTCTTGCACAAGCGTTGTGTGCAGCATGGATCAAGCTCCCTGCATGCTTGAGACCCGTAGGTGATTTAAACCAGCGTTACCTTCAGCTGGACACCAGAATCGCTGAATGCAAGTCGGTGAAGGACAGGGCACGCAACGGCCTCTACAACTCCATGGCCGTCCAGATTTTGAAGCCATCCAACCTGCGAATACCTGCGTGATTGCCAGGTTTGCTAGGCCAAGTCCCACCCTACTCAGGAATGAAGGAATCCATTCTTAAGGCTTTACAATCTCTGCACATGGCAAGGATGCGTCAGCTGCCCTGGAGCAAGTTGTACGATCTGTTGAAGGCAGAAGGGGGGTCATCATTGCTTGAATGGAAATTTTGCAAAGGCTGCCTGACGCACATGTGCTTTAGTGTGGCAGCGTGGCCCGTGCATGCTGAGCCAGGCACTTCATTGACAGTTGGGCGAGCCATCTTTCTTGGGTCTGTGGCCCGCGGCACAGCCATCGAAGGAAATGCTGATGCGAAGGCCAGGTTGTTTTGGGCCTTTCTCTTCCGAATCTCTGGAAGTCTTGCAGTCTGTACTGACACGCTGTGAACTTTGGCAAGCGATAAGCCTAGTCATCCATCTTGGAGGCCGTCCTTCTGCTCAAGGGCATGGCTGCCGCTGACCGCCCGGAGCTTGCTGCAAGAGAAACATGAGCCTAAGGAGATGCGAGTGGCAAGTGTAGTGTAGTCTTGCACGCAGACGTGACATCAATCAGTCCAGTCTGTTTTGCAGACTCCCACCCATATGATCTGCATGTACAATGAGATGAGAAGACTTGCCTCGACTCATGTGTTGCAGCTTCGAGGCCAAAAGTGGTTGCTATCGTCGCTGACCATGTTGGCCGCAGCTCTGAGCAAGGACTGATGTGAACATCTTGAGTTGCCAGGCTTAGAGACTGCAGCTTTGCAGAGGAATACGCTTGTATCTCAAGGGAAGTCTGGCAGTACATAGGCGAAGTCACGCTTAATGTCAGTTCGGCCCCGAAAGCTGCTTGGAAGTACTAGAGCTGCAGAGGACTTTGGCGAGGGGGCCCAGGTCTCGGTTGGCAGCCCAGTTTACCGTACTGGAGCTGTGCATTTTTGCAAACGGTGCCGCCATGCGTGCTGCAAGTTCTGGGATCGTGCAAATGTTCGGCATGTCGGGTGCACGCGCGGAGGTTGCAGATGATGCTGTCCATGTCCGCTTTACAGGCCAGGGACAGATAGCCTGTGGGGATGTCTGCCTGTTAGACATTGTGGACTTCGTCATGACTAAGACCAAGTTTCGCATCAGCTTGCTTCTAGACCGGTTTGCCTGCTGCAGGAGCTTCGGTGGAGGTGGTTCTGGATGCAATTGGAGGCCCGCATCTACTGAGCTGCAAGAGCCGCCACGAATGTTGAATGTGTAAAACGCGCCATTAAAATCACATCTGGAGTTGTTGGGCGTCGCGTAGTTGCCTCAGTTTCCAAAACAACAGATGTGGGAGACCCTCAGAATGGGGTACTCGGTCTGAATGATGAGTTGAGATTTCTGCACACAAATTCTATCCATCCCCATGTGAGCTAGGTGTTCCATAGGGGATTATTATGAAGAGGGATACTAGGAGTTTAGACTATAGCTCATATAACCCTGTATAACCGCTATATAACCCTATAATCCTACATTAAGAAGGCCTAAGTAAACCCTATATAAACCCAGCATAGCCCCCACATCAGCCCTACATACCCCCTATATATTCCTATATAAGACGTATACAAAAGCCCTATATCCCACGTCTGTCATGCAGGCCCTGTGGCCTTGGCCGCTGACCGCAGCGCCAGGGTCTTCGAGAAGCTTCCACCCGCTGTGCCTCGTTTTTGTTGTTGTTTGCCTTTGGTGTGTTGTAGAGGGATTATAGGCTATGTATTGGGTTCATATGGGGTTTCCCAAAATCAGGGGTAGCCCGCCAATAATGGAGAACCAAATGGAAAAGAACATGGAAAATTAAATGGATACTGGGGGGAATATAGGGATTTAAGGAACATAAATTCAATTACCATTCTGGGGAAGCCTTGAATTCACCATATTTCTACATATATATATATCTCCATTATGGTAATTTAAGTTAGTTTGTAGGCCTTTGGTTAGCTGGAGAAAAAGGAATGGCAAGGAACATGGCATATGATGGGGGTTTACAGGGTTTAGGGTTTAGGGTGTAGAGTTTGGAAGGAAGGGAAAACAACATGGAATCTATTACAGTGGATTATATAGGGACTACCATAAGGATCCATTCCTTCATTCCTAGCTAACCTAAGGCCAGTTTTGGGCACCTGCCAGAAAATCTCCCCCTTGTATTAGTCAAGTGTTCCCGACATGGATCTGGAACAGGTCCTGGACCAGGTATACAAGAAAGGTTGAGAATGTTCCGGGGAACAGTAGTACGACTGGGAACCCAAGGCAACCCGGGCCTTAAGAAGCGGGAGTGCCGCTGCTTCTGCTAGCATATGTATGCAGTCTGATGATATCAAGAGCTGGGTTTGGGGTCTATTGCAAGAGCAACCTGTAGCTCTGGGCTTTCATCCAGGTGAAGGTTACCATGCGGCTCATGCTGCTTGGCCAAATGACAGAACTTAGCTCTGTCTTTCAAGTACTTGTCGTGGTGACACGGAACTTTGACCCAAGGAAGTGGTGGCGCAATCAGCAACAGTGGTCCAGCGACTTGGTGAAGCATTGCTTGAAACGTTGATGCATGAAGCACTCCAGGCAAATCTGGCTCAGTAGTTGTGACTGCATGGCAAAAACATGCAGCAAGTGGCTGTGGTGCTGGAAAATATTTCCAGGTGTTGAGGGACGCTCCATCCTGTACTTAGGACGCTTACTATAAGACTCAAGACATGGATGATTTCATTTCCTGCGCTTAAGCGGAGGCGATGAGGAGCGCCCCTGCGACCTCTTCCTGGAGAAAATCATCGCCTCCACGGCCGCGCATGTGCCATCGGATCAGGTGTGGGCTAAAGCGCTTGTGGGGACAGGGCTTAGGCATTGCAGTGTTGCAGATTTGCCTGTTCATTTAGAGAGGCTTCCACGACAACAGTGTTACAAGGATCTAGGAACCTGGGCAGGCCTGATGGCCAGCCCCACTCTAAACATTTGCGGCTTGGAACGGTGAGGGGGCTTGATTTGCCCATGATTTAATCAATTGTGAATGGGAACTGGGCTTACGGGAGGGTTCATGCGCCTGGCATTGCTGATTGCTGCCTTGGGCTTTCTGCGACGAGAGGTTGCCCTGGATGAAGATTATCTTGCGGTTCATAGTATGCTTCTGCAGCAAAACAGTTTGCGCAATGTGTGGGTTTGTAGCTCTTGGCATTCTTGAAAGCCAAGCCTGGTCAGGATCCATGGTCAAGGGGATAAAGGGGCACCTCCTCGCACCGCAAAATCTGCTGCAAAATGTTTTCCTTGTATTCTAGCCCTTTATTTTCTGAATTGTTAAGCGGTTGCCAGAACTCAGCCTAGATCCAGGCAGCTGCCGTCGCTACAGCCTTGAACGTCTTGGCATCCTTGGAGCAACTGAAGGCAGCCACACTTGATTGGGGAATCGCATGTTGCCCGATGTAAGTTATGCTCGAGGGCTGATGTTTTTGCAGCTGAGCTTTTCAGCAAGGGCAGTGGCTGGGGTGATTTGAAGGTTAAGCTTGCATTGGTAGATGTGGACAATCAGTTCGTTTATCTGCACGTCTGGCGAAACATCACCCCCACAATGTAATTGTAAATCGTAATTGCGTTTTCCCGCCTCCGTGCTAAGAACAGAAGCCTGGAGACCTACTCAATTGTACCCACCCGCCAGCTTTTTCTCTTCTCTCTTTCAGGCTTCACCATGCAGTATGTAAAATGCCGTGGATATCTTTGGATGCTGAGGTGATGGACCCCATGGATTCCACCGTGAACTTGGCTGACTCCAAGAACTTCAACTACAAGCAGCTTGTGCAGCCGCTTGTCATAAACCTACCTTGTCCCTGATTGGGTTATTGAACGTTGACAACTGCATGTAAACGTGTGTAGCTTGCACATCTTCTTCTCAGAAGCATCCAGAAGCCTACAACCCCTTCCAAGTCCATGGCGCCTTGGCTTGGCACGATCATCACTTTAGATCCTGAAGCTCGCTCTGAGGTTGGCCTCGCAGCCGCTTGGCAGCAACTGCAGCTGTTCAGCTGGATCTCGCCAAGGGTCGTAGACTATTAGAGCTTTGAAGCGTCGAAATGCCTCAGGTCGGCAGGTCGCTTGATGCAGTGACCTGTATGCCGCCCTCACTACGCAAAGAGGGATCCCTTTTAGAGGGAAGGGTGCCGATTTGATGCTACAGCAAGTGGAAAAAGACGAGCCTGGGAGTGGGAAGAGAGTCCTTGATTGCCCCTGAAACACAATTTTGGCCCCCGCAGAGCACAGCAAGTGCCCCCTTTACCACGATACCCGTTCATCCTGTGCTTGTATGGTGTGAGACTGGTACTTATAGCAGAAAGAGATGCCCCGTGATTGCTTCCTGATCTACACGGCGAAGCGGGCATGCAGGCAGCAGTGGTCGCAAAGGCATGTGGCCCCCATCCTTGGTCTACCGAGACTTATCTGCGACAGTGGGGCATAGCAAGGCATGTTGGAATCCAACAGGCAAGGCTGTTCGCAAGAGCCCTGTTAGTATCACCTTGGGTCCACCAAGTGTGAAAACTTCGCAGCATCAAGTGGAGAGCACTTAGCCGAAGCGCCAGGAAGGTGCGAGTTTGCGCACGCTTTTGAGGGCATGCATGCGCGCACCTACCCAAATCTCTGCTGGGCATGACACCCAAAGTCAAAGCAGCTCAGGATGCGTGGCAAGACTCATATCGCCCGGGAGCTGAAACGATATATCGAGCTCCGTGACGGCGTTGGGGCTGTATGCGAGCTTCAAAGTGTGGGATCTAATTGTGAGCTGCTTACCTCACGTCAGCTTATCATTGATGCGGGACCATCTGAATTCCAGTTTGATGCTGGTGCGGCCTCCATTAGATCTCTCCGCAAGCCCCACGCTCCATCAGCCGTGGCTGTGCAGAAAGGTTCTTTCACGGAGCTCGAGCAGAGATCTTTCCAGTGACCGAGTTCCCTGGCTGCACCCATCCCTGCAGGCTGTGAAAGCTGCAGCTGCAGCAGAGCGAATCCCTGCAGGAGAGAGGTTGTTACCAGGTAATCTTGTACATCACAAATTGACATACTTGAGTCTAATAGCTGTGGAGCTTTTCCACTTGCAATTTTCAAGCCATCTCGCTAGCAAATGAGCATGCTCTGCCTTGCTTGCTTGCTTGCCTGCTTGCCGGGCAAGGTACATGGGGCCAGATGGTGACGAACGGCTCTATGAAGCCTTGAACAGCTTTTCAGCTCGGCATTAATACCTCTTGCGAGCTGAGCTGCTTCAAGTGAAAGCTTTTCATGGCGCGTGTCAGATGTGGCGGACGTGCTGCCTAGGATTCTTTGATGTGACCAACTCGCACCTTGGCATTGATGGAGCAAATTTGTGGCTAGATGGACATGTTTTTCGTTGCTGGTGGTTCTGGGACTGGGTGGGGTAATTTACGATGCAAGAAGCTGATGGAACATGAGGCTTGGCTAGATGACTTTCTTTAGCATCGCCTGTGCAAGGCCTACAGCTGATCCTTATGATTTCGATCAGCGCCTTGGCTTGGAGATGTCACACTCTGTCAGTTGGCATTGGGATCCGTTGATTGCTACACTGACGCATCACCTTGAGCTGCAATATTCGAGCTACACAGAGACATGCAGCAGAGGACTGGAGTTGAAGGCTCAGGCGGCTTTGCAATCATTCTCTCCAGTGACACCGTAGAGTCCACGAAGTCGATGTGGAAGCCCAGCGGCATTTCAAAAGGCCTTGCCCGTTTTGAATGCCTGGGCTAGCTGAGCAGGAGCAATTCATAAGTCTAGTTTCATGCAGGCATTGCCCGCTCATGATCCCAAACCCGGCATGTGTATTTGCGACTGCTACAGTATGTGCGGGTTCAGGATGAAACAGAGGGACAAGAGTGCAATTCAACAAGAGGCTGTGCGTGCTGTGTGCTGAATGCGCTGCATCCTTGTCCAGCATGCGGTTTTAAGGAGCGCCCACACAAAGTGGCACCGGAAATGGATGGAACCCTTCTCAGAACTGTGCACTGTGCGGTGCTTCCATTTGAGTCGTGTTTGATGCCTTTTTCCTGCCAAGTGCGAGAGGCCCGCAAGCTAGAGGATGAGATGCAGGCAGAGGCCGGCGCACATCTCGTGTGCAAAAGAAAACTTGCAATCCACTTGTTGCCTGCCTTTGGGCCTGCTACTGATGTCTGACGAAATTTGTTCCGAAAGGTCTGCTTCATCCAGATTAGCGTAGACAGCTCAAAAGGTTGCTCGGAAGCATGTCCGGTTTCTGTCGAATCCGGTCTGGGATCTTCTTGACTGGTGTGACTATTGTTGTCAAAGGCGAGAAGTACCTCGCAGATCTTGCAGCATACCGCGGCATGACTTTGGAGGAAAGCAGGGACCTGATCGCGGACTACCAGGACCCCTCATACACCTGCGAGGGTTTGCCAGCTGGTGTAGGCAGGCTCCGGAAACTGCCGGTAGACGCTGAGCTGTCCGTCGCTCCCACCTGCAGAACAGAGATGATTACCTGAGAAATTGCAGGACCACTACGTCCCCATCCAGATGGATGCATCGGAAGATGAGACTCCGTTCATCCACCTGATGACTCTTAATTGGAGTTGGCTGGGGAAAAGCTGTTTTGTATTGTGCAGCCTCCGCATGGAGCATTTTCAGGTGGGCAGCGGCACACACGAAAACATAGTGTTGCGGCAGTTTTGCCCGGCAACGCGTGATGAGGGTCTTTGTCAACTAGTTCAAGTTGACGTAGTCGCGTAGACCCTTGTTGCTTACATCCAGGAATTACAACCAGAAGATGGCAACCTGGCAATCATTCATCACTTGTGGTACTTGTAGACTGCAGAACTCGGATGACATAGCTTTTCAGCACGTGGCTGCGAGCGGCATAGCACGCTTCGACGTGATTCCTTGTGCTGCAGCCTGCAAGGTGGTCAACAAGATGATGCGTTCTTTTGTCGGATCGCAAGTTTGCCTTTCGGCTGCCTCACGCAACTCACGAAAGCTACTAGTACATCATGGTGCATGCTTTCGGGCTTGTTCTAGCAGTAGCTGTTCGGCAGAGTCGTATTGCCTGAGCGCTTGATTGCAGATGGGTTTGCAACAATGACAGGGCATGTTTTTGGCAGCTTGAGGCGCAGTCTGCACGTGTTCTGCTGCGAGGCCACTTCCTTTCCAATCTTCATCCTTTCCAGCATACCGTGTACCTTGCCCGACATGGTGAGAGCTGCTTGGCTGCCATAGCACTAGTCGCACCAAGTTTGTGTGAGCTTCCGAGCGCATCGAGAAGCAAATCATGAGTACGCTTCTGTCTAAGTCACATGCTGAAGCTGGCAAAATGCCAGGGCTTGTCAAGCATTGCTGTGCAGTTTGCAATGGCTTGCAACATGTAATATGAGATCCAGCAAAGGTGATTTCAATGTCGAAAAGCGCATTGGAGGAAACTCCGGGCTATCGCGTCGCGGTGAAGAATTTGCAAGACGGACGGCCGAGTTTGTACCTTGGATATGCAGTTATCGAGTGCAGGCGTCCGCGCTGGCATCCTTGTTGCATGAAAGACCGTGACTTTGTTTTTGAGCTGCAGTGGCAGTTTTCGAAGTATATCCAAGGTGAAGTATGTAGCCGCTGAGCTGCACTGTGCGGCTCACACCACGATACTTGTGTGATTCATTGCCTCGAATGATTGAGTTTTACTTGGTAGTTTCCCCTAAATAGAGGAACCCCAACATACACCCCAAAATATTATATTCCTTATTATTGCGACCTCCAGAATGGTACTCGTAATTTTGGGGCATGGCCAGAGGCTGGAGTCCTGCTTGTTTGCCCTTCCAGAAACACAGGTGTGTGGACATGCCAGCGACTTGGTGTGCGTGACTTTAACCGCACAAGATGTGCGAACCTCAGTGAAAGCCTTTGCCAGGCCAGGGGTCTGGTTGGATAGCTTGCTTGGGGGGGTCCTATGGAGGACATAGTAAGTAGGCTAGATATTGAAGGGACAACTCGTGGTTGTAGGGGTTATGAACCTACTTCCAAAATCCCCCTGACCCTCCAAGTAGAGTCTAGAGTCTAGAGGCTGGAGCCTAATGAGAGTGTGGGGCATATGTAAGGAAAGCACACATGTGGCTAGATCAACAAGATTACCCGTGGCTGGTATTGAGCCGGGCTCCAAAGTAGCAGATGCAAGAACATCTTGTGTTGCTGAGGTTCCAAGGCTACGCAGCAAGATCATTGACCTCAAAAGGCATGGAGTCCAGGGTCGACCACATTTCCCGCACTTCGTCAGTTTAATGTACCACGGCCGAAGGTGGTATCCCACCGGCACGCCTTTGCATGCCTTTAGTACTTTGTGGTTTAGATTGTTTAGACAGTAGCACGAAATTGTTTACAAGCTGGAGTATGTGCGGGACAGTGTTCTTGCTTTTCCAGCAATCGTGGTGCACTTAGCCCTGACAAGAGCTTCGCATCTGCAAGACTTACTCCAGAACGCTAAGAATTCTTTGATGACTTTGATGTTGCTTGTGAGGAACATTGTGGCGTCCGAAGACTGGACGGACCTCGGAGATGCTAGCGGGGGCGCAGTTCGAAGGCCTCGCCGGGCCGGTGGCTTCGCTTTCGCCAGTCTGTATCGACCAGTTTCGATCACAGACAGTGGAGCGCATCCCGCAATGATTCTCTTGAGTGGAAAGAATCTCATGGAATGCAGGCTGCTGCAAAGAACGTAAAGTTCCATGTGCAGCCAGTGTGCAGGTTCATGCAGCTCAAGCGGCTTCAGGTGGGGGGTGCTTTGATTGAGACGCGAGCCCTCACAACAATCACCCTGCCAGTGACTAGTGACTATTCCAACTTATGCCCCAGGCATGCGCGGCACGCCCATCGCAAAGCTTCAAGTCTTAAGCCGTCTCCGGCACCCTTGTTTGGGAGGGTTTTCTTGTGTGTTTGTGGTTGTGATCGATTGGGTGGTCTAGCCATCTTGGTGCAGGCCGGAACAGCGACCGCCATGCTATGGGGAAACCTGTATGAACTGGGCTCTAACTCTGTCCTATTACTGTTACCAAGACCCTGTTACTATTCCTGCTATGTAGTAGTACTATTTGTACTACTATCAGTATTCAGTGTCAGTATTAAGTGTCCAGGTCGGCTGGGGTGCAGACTTCAAGGATAGCCCGGACAACGTGAAGGAGTGGGAGCATTTTCAATGCTTAAATTTGCCATACTGACTTATTGGGGGTTAGTAGTGCAGGAGGGAATACGGTATATACGGAATACATAGGGATTCTATCCCTTCTTCTTACTAACCACCAGTCCGATAATGAGTTTGCTTTATTTTTGGTTTCAATTGCCAGATCGCGCTTTGTGCCATGTTCTTATGATGCGCTTGTTTGGGTCTACGGCCTTTTACGGAGGATGCGGGAGCCATTCCTTATCGACTTGTCATCTTGCCGGACCCGTATCCTAACAAGGCTGCTGCAGTTGTTGCATGAAGGATCTCTTGCGGATACTCGAGGGTGCGAAGGCTCGAGCTTCGGTTCATCACAGCCGCGGTGCAGGGAGAGGATGAGAGAGGAGCAGTGGATGGATGGCATTTCTTGAAGGTCTCATGCCTAATATGCCTAATGCCACATGTCTGAGTGCCGTGCAGATTTTGCAGCATCCAATTACAGGATTTTACAGAGGCTTCCCGCTCAATCGATGTAGATAATCCCTTTTTAAAAGGGACTGTCGGGCTCATCACGCGCAAAATGCCTGGCTCCATACCCAACAGGTTGCCCGAGGCCCCAAACGACTGCCGCGCCGCCCCAGAGGTTGTCACCCTGGTTTTTGTCGGCGGGGACGCGTCTGGAGCCGGTACTGTGCAGCTGGGCTCAGTCAGGGTCTTCGCAGGGGGCGTACTTTTTTTTGTGGAATGACTGGGTGTTGAACGCAGACACACGGTTCATCATGTGAAATAATCGAAAAAAAAAAAAAAAAAACGAGGCCTGGGCGGCTCTGGACATCTTCCCTCCGACGCACTATCGAGACTGCCCAGTTCATTGAGCACCCGATCCTGCCAGCAGGCTGTGAAACGAAGATGGATGAAGCGCACAATTTTCAAGTCCTTGAAGTGAAGACCAAGGCAGAAGGCAAGCTCTAAAGGTCTCGTGTTGACTGCCAGGCGCGGACGGTAAGCCCTTTTACCAGATGAGGGGGCGACAGTTCAGGCCAGAGCTCTGCATGAAAGCTTGAGGCAGCGAAGCATAACAATGGTGCCGGACCGCCATGTTCAAAGATAGTTAAATATCATTACTGACAGCAACAGTACTGTAACATTAAAGAAGACATGTGATAGCAAAAGCGCGCGTGCACTGTCATGTTTCTCACAAGTCGTCCATGCTGTTATGTTAGCCTCAGATGCATGACGTGCATACTGGACATACCTATGCAATTCTTTGCACATGCGAGCGCATTTGAAAGACACCCGTGAGTGTCAGGAACATGGACGAGGTCTACGCCGGCGAATATGATGGCTTCACTGAGGAGGCAGGTGTCTGAAAGAAAATGCAGAGAATTTCCACAATTGGGGAACAACTTTCACGGAATACCAGGCATGTCGATGTGACTCTGCAAAATCCGTCTGTGCCAGTCAGGAAATCCAGAGAAGGGATCCCAACATCAAAATTGATCGAAGCTCGGCCAGAGACGGGAAAGCCCGCATGTTGCAGCAGTCTGATCATTCTGCTACTTGATTTCGGGGAATGCTCCAGAAGAATGTGCTGCATCCATGTGGTCCGGAGATCCCCTGCACATTTATTCGACTGGTGCATCCCAGGGGAGCGAGACAAGCTCGGCTTCAGGTATCCTCGTGGTGAGTCCTATTATGCCGCCTGGCAGCGCACGTTCAGGAAGCCGGTAGCTCTTCGCCTGGTGTAAGATTGTGAATGTTTCCTTGGGTGAGCTAATAACTAGCTATGCTAGCTAGTCCTCAGAACAACTTTCTGCCACAGGGGTCTTTCGTGCCGGCCTCACTGCCACATAAGGACATTATTGCGCGGCGTGGACCTTACAAGCTTTGGCCAGTGCTCGCAACAATGATTGGTTTTGAGTTGCTGCTATGAACGCCAAGCTTTGTTGTTGCCACCGTCGTCAAGCACAGCAAGTGAGGGCACGATTGACCAGGCTTGAGTCCGTGATGTCGCATTTGGAGCGCGTCCAGCAGCCAATTCTTATCATCTCTCATCAGGCCAGTGCATCCTTAGTGCAGAGAACTGACTCAGAAAAACCGTGAGGGAATGGTAGTGTACAGCGGCTGATTTTTACATTGCGCTGTGCACAATCTGATGGTCAGAGTGAGGATAAGAGGGCACTATCCCACTATCCTGCCAGGCAGTTCTTCGGTTGATGTATGCCTGGCTGGCGCACAAGTCTCGAGATGAAGCCATCGGAATCGAGGCAGGACTAAGGTGACTAAGGACTTCATGCTGGCTCCAAGTAGTATCCAGCCAGTGTTTAGGATTGCTGGCCAGCAGCTTCATCAGAACCTGCGCCTGAAGCTTTGAGGTGCCGCAGCATGTAGTGGCGGACTCAGTCTTGTACATCCCAGGTACGAGCAACAAGGAAGGTTGTTTAGAGGTGAGACAGACGATTAGAGATGGAGGCATTTTTGTGGCAGCGAAAAGCTCATCTGCAATTGCACAATAGGCTCTGGGGTTCGGCATCAACGACGATCGTACTTCCAGTAGCAGCTGCTACATGGCTATTTCCCAAAATGGCGCGTCAGGAATTCATGAAAGGGCGCATGTTTAACCCCTCCGATACATACCCGGAAACATACCCTGATACATACCTCGATACACACCCAGATACATACCCCACAACGTCCGTTTCGTCAAGAGCCCAGCACTACGAAACATACCCCGAAACATACCTCGACCACGGTTTAGCCGGAAACACCCACATCTTTTCTTGCTCATCAGGGTGTCCTCGCAGCAGTCATCGTTTGGATTGGCATAACCCCGCGTTGCCAAGGTGATAAGATTTTGCTTTGACGGACTTGGAGGCATTCCTGCTGCAGCCCAAGTTTTAAAGATAGACAGCTCAGGGGCAACACAGTGAGGATAAAGTGGCTGATCGGGCTGGGGATGTAACGATTCGCTGGTGTGCTTGCTCTCCCCTTTCACGCCAGAATACAAGGACATGCTCGCTTGCCTGGCACAAAAAGTGAGGGCCAAGACAGTGAGCGGGCAAGTGGAGTTCCTGGTTGTTCGAAAAGTTTTCAAGTGAGAGCACCTCGTATGGAAGAACAGATGTTGAGAGGAACTTTCGAATTCCATGTTTTGGGTACTTCAAGGGTTCTTTGGTTGCTGAGCTGCATCTCAACACCAGCTGCTGTTGATGTTGCTTCAGCAGTTCAAAGCCCGAAGAGTGACTATGAATCAGTGGTGGGAAGAGATTCCTCCGCTCATGCTCAAGAGATATCTAGAAGTCAGCTTCCTTGCAACTCTAGCTGTTGGATTCCTTTGTTCTAAGGTTGAGCATCGCTTCCCCCTTGGGCCAACGCACTTGACCGACGACGGTCAAAGCAACTTGTGAGGACAGGCTGCCAAGAGAGCTACAGCCAGGGATGGGCTTCGATTCATTTAGAAGCATTCTGTTGTTCTGCTGCCATGTTACTCTTTTCATCCGCCAAACTCTTGGTTGAGAGATGGGACCATTGCCGCACAGGATGTTCATGCTGCAGAAGGCCAAGGTCCTGTTGCAGCCTGTCTGGTGCCACCTGCACACCAGATGTTGATTCGGTTTCAAGGTAAGGTGACGCTCTGGTGTCACTGTCAGCTCGTAATTACAAATTTTAATCGCATGTGGCCATCCCAGAACTGAGTGGGAGAATGTTGCAGCTGGTGTAAGTCGTTGCAGTTTTGGGCCTGGTCCATGGGTGACAGACGGACCGTGCAGAAGCACTGATCTGTGTTGCCTCGTACGGCAGGGCCAGAACCCGCATGAATTAAAGAAGCACAAGTCAAAAAGCGATTTGATGTCTTCTGAAGTTCACGGTAGATCGGTTGTGGTTTCCCCTGCTGGACAATCTTCTCACCAGAGGCTGTCACAGCCTGGCACGCTGAGCGTTGTTTTGCTTGCGCTTGATGGTAGACAAGGGTCACGCACAGGTGTTGTATAGGTGGGCAGGCTGTGACAAACAATTGTTTTGTATGCCAAGTTGTGCAGCCCGACCCCCTGCCCGGATAAGTGTTGCAGACCTCACTTATCAAAGCACAGCTGGTGAGCTGCTGCTTTGCTTATCCGGGATGGGATGACGCAAGGGGCCGTTGCTGGAGATTGCGCGCTGCAAGCTCCGCCAGGTTGCCTATTTTCTGCCATGCATGGGGTCGAAAAGCGCATTTTCATGCTTGCCAAAACATCTGCTGACGCTGTGCAGAAGCATGGTTTGCTGCAGTTGCTGATTCTCGTGCTGTCAAGCCCGCTAACTTGCGACTGGTGTGCATCTCAGGCAGCCGCACGTTGATACATTGCGGTTCCGCTGAATTGCCGTCATGTTGCAGCGCACAAGAGTTGTCATCTGGCCCGAGGGTATGCTCATACCACAGGATGCAGCAGCAACGCGGAGTACCAAGGTTCAGATTGTTCAAGGCTTTAGGCATTAATGTTGGTTCCTTTGCTACTCGTAGCTAAGCGATGAAGTACATGAAGGTAAGTAGGTCATTCGACATTATCATGCTGCTTGTACCTGGGCGATAGCATGGAAGACATTGAAGTGCGCGTGCTGTCCGTATCTGGAGAGATCGTGGCAGAGCTGAAGCTGCCATCACAGGCCCCGGCAGTGACCGCTTCAGGTTTCGGAGATTGATGAGGCAGTGGCTAATATGTTGGGCAAAGGGTATAAGTAGCAACAGTCCAGTATGCCGCGAGTGGGGGTCTGTGAACTGATCTGTGGCGTGAGGGCTGCATTAAGCCCGGCTTCTGAAAGCTAATGCGCAGCGGTCCTGCTAAGATCCTCGGTGTCTTTAGACCTTAGCTTTCCTCTCAGATTCGGCTCCAGGCCACTGTGCTGGATGTGCAGAAGGCAGCTGCGGCCAGGGCATGCTGTGTAGGAGCTTATGTAAGCTCCAGGATAAGAATTCATCTTCAGAAATGTGCCTCAATCTGGCATTTAGCTAACTAGAAGGGTACTGCTTGGCGTCCGAAGGATGAGCATCGTCTTTACTTTGAGGCGTCACGAGGACCATACATCCAACAAATGCAAACAAGAAATTGGGGAGCTCATTGCCTCTTTTCATTCTGTACCTGTACTTGCCTTCCAGGCAGTCGCCTGGTCGTCACCGCAGTGCCAGCGTTTCATTTGGAGCAGTCGGGAGCTGGCTTTCGAGGCAGGTCCCAGAGTTTTGGACGTTTTAGTGGTAGCATGAGGCTTTTGCTTAGGTGTTAACTCTAGTTACTCTAGTTGGGCCTAGCTCTGCTTGATTGTAGGGCAAGATGCAAATCCTTGACAAGTGTGGAAGAGTTGAATTACACCTGTTGAGCATCCGAGCAAAGCAAATCACGCGGCCATCACGCCGCAATCTCTCAGCAGGAGCGGCTTTGCGAAGTTTCCGAAGAGCGGCCGTTGGCTTCTTGGTCTGATGGACGTCCCAACTTTTCGCCTGTAGCGGCCGAAGCGCTAGATGACCAGCGGGGACATGGGTGGGCTGACATGGTCTCCTAGTTCAGGGATAGGAGAGGGTTGCCCTGCAGCGCATTCCCACACGATGCATGAGGCAGGCAGCTGTCATATCACCTTGCTAAGGAGCTGTGTCTTTGCGTGTTGTCCTGGCCTCCAATTTTCGTCGATGGAGTTGAAGTGTGCCATGGCAATGCAAGATTTGAGAGGGGCGCAGCACGCAAAAGGCCTTCCAGAACCATCCAAGGAAGGGAGTGGAGATCGAAGACGGTGCAAAAACTGGACTTGATGAGCATCTTGTCTTGAACACTGTAGTCCGCAGACCCTCCACCTTTCAGAATAGGCTTGGTTCTCATGTTACGCAGAGCCGAGAGGACGCCCGCAAGCTTGCTGCGCCGGGCCGGTCAGGGAGGCAATTGCTTCCAGGAGAGGCTTCAAGCTGAAATGAGTTCCTGCAGTGCTCCAAGCACGTCTCAAAGCCCGTTGCGGCGAGCTTTTGGCCGCCCAAGTGACAGGATGCTGAAACTCTGTGGTGGGGCCCTTCGGTCATACAGGGTGAAGAGCCTCTATGGAAGAGTGCCTTGGCTGCTGGGGGGCTGGAAAATTGAGTAATGGGCATATTAGCAGAGGGATTCTGGCACTCAGTGTTGGACTGGTGGGTAAGCAGCTGAGTTTTTCGGGTAACACAGGAGATCTGTCCTGCGTCCTGTACTTCCTTAAATCAGAGTTGTGCATGTTACTGGCTGACAATGAAGGCATTTCGGAGCTCGGCGAGCCGCCTGAGCCTGCGAAGCGAGTCGCCAGGGACTTGGTCAGTTCCTTTCCTGCTTCCTGTACTGGACAGGATGGGTGAGCAGTGTTGACTGATGTGCTGCTGCAA